TGTGTGTGTGTGTGTGTGTGTGTGTGTGTGTGTGTGTGTGTGTGTGTGTGCATGTGCCTTTAAAGGGCAGGCCTAACCAATTGAATGACGTGGAAGTGAGTGAATAAGGATGTACAGTTCGCCGGCCGTTACTTGGATTTAGTGTTAGCCACTGTGAGTGTAAATTGACAGCATCAGTTCAGCTCATCAGCAAGTCAATGAAGAATATGCTCGTGTTTACTGTATTTTCTTGCCATTTGTTCAATTTTAAAAATTTTGTCGAGATGGTTCGTAGTTTTAAAAAAAATAATAATAATACTGACAACACTCTAAATTGTCCCTGGATGTGAGTGTGAGCGCGGATAGTTGTTCGTCTCTGTGTGCCCTGTGATTGGCTGGCAACCAATTCAGGGTGTACCCCGCCTCCTGCCGGAAGACAGCTGTGATAGGCTCCAGCACACCCGTGAGCCTCGTTAGGAAAAAGCAGTTCATACATTGGATGGATGGATAGATGGAGTAATATTGATAAAGTCAATTAAATGCATACATTTAACAATCTTGTAACTGTTTTAGTAAATGATTGATTTAATCATAAACGTAATGATAATGTGGACAGTTAAATGCGATAGGAATAAAAAAAAGTTGCCTATTTTTGAGAAAAAAATGTGTTTCAAGAATAAATTTGTACAGTTTTCGGGAAGAAGGTCTAACACAATAGGAAAATAATTCTCAAGAAAAAAACCCTTAAATTTTCTTCCCCTGGAAAATAGCCAATTGTTGAGCGTTAGGCGGTACTTGGTGGTCATGTTTGATTGGGGGGCCTTGGAACCTTAAATAAAAGTTTGAGTTCAACTGTTCTAAAAGTGGTGCTGGCTTAAACTCTCCAAGGTGATTAAAGTTTTCACGTCCCTCATGAAGACTCCGTGATCTCACACAAGCGGGGAAACTGCACCAGATGATGTGGATGAGTTCTCATCAGATACCACTGCTGACTGTGTAAACTGAACTGCGGCCACTCCCCCCATTTATTTTGACAACAACGCCAAAGTGCTGCCCGGCGGCATTACCAAGATGGCTGTCAAGCGCTGGGAGTCGCATTTGTACTAAATGCCAAACATCATCTTGAATTAACTTGACCGCATCGTTAGAGAGATTAGCGTTGATGTTTGATTTAATGCGGGGATGGGCGAGAGTTTGGTCTCTTGGGCCGCATTTGGCTTCGAAAACTCATAGACCAGCCAGACCATTCATACATGAGGCGGAATGAGAATGAGCTAAATGTTCAGTGCCTAACAAATTTATTAGGCCACCCCCCCAATGTAAGTTTATGACACAGCTGCCCTAAATTAAGAGCAATTACCCAAATCATTTTTTTTGCGGTTTCATAATACAGATGTTGAAGCTTTTGAATCAAAATGTTTTCCCGCTATATAACGAATAATCCGTGATACAAGTATAATTTTAAAAAACGGTCATGTTAGCACAAGAACATCGTTGATTTTGAATGCTCGCGTGATGCTAAATTTAGCATTGATGCTAATAAATCTAAGACAGTCATTGATGGTACTTGGCTGACCCCCACGCAAGCAGCATGGGTTCAGTTCCCACTTGTTGGCAGTGTGAATGTGAATGGTTGAACTGTGTGTCTCCCGTGTATGTGCCCTGTGATTGGCTAGCAACAGGTCTAGGTGCCCTGCCACTTGCCCAAAAAGTAATTTGGGGTAGATTACAGCGCCCCTGTGATCCAAATGAGGACAAGCAATACAGAAAATGGATGGATGAAAGTTTTCCCTTCATTACTTCACATAAAAATATAAATACTGTAGATGGTTTTCTTCCAATGCCCTGCTTTGCTGTATGTCGATATGATTAAAATCATTGGCAAAATGTTAGAATAATCTAATATTGTGCGTTACTATGCTCTTCTCACACTACTACTGTCTATCTACGAAGTGACTCTTGTGATCGAGAATTTATGGAATGGCGCAAAGAGCAAACACAGACTAAACACTTAATTTCCCCTCGTGGCGCCCCAATCGCAGGAAGTGGGCGTTGAGGGATGACTCAGCGTACTTTGACCTCCATCGCCCATGACAACACCATGAGACCCCCGCCCTCTCTAATTAGACAACTTGTTTGTTTTTTGTTCACCCCGTCTGAGCCTCTCGATGCGCGTCTTCGGAGGAAAGCGTGTCCCGGGATTTTGGCGGTGATGACTCATGGTGACGTCCCCCTCCGCCCTGCCTTCTCAGGCACTTTCTCTGGCCGGGTGGAGGACGGGGGTACACAGGGTTGCACCCCTAAATGGCGGAGGAGTTTAAAACCTACCAAATTATTTTGAGGGCGATTAACAAATTGTCAATAAACATTGTTCTTTTTTTATGATTCTGTTCACTTGAATGTTTGCAGTG